ATTAAAATGCTAAATCGGTCATGAATCGGTCATTAGAAGGCTAAATCAGTCATGAACCAGCCATTAAGTCATTGAACTGGCTGTAAACTAGCCCCTACTACACTGAACCAGCCTTAAACCAAGCTGAAAAGAACTGAACTGGCCTTGTAACCCACTGAACCGGCCCTTTATATATTAAACTGACTTGGTTTATGCACAAAACTAAACTAAAAAACTTTGAATTTGGTTTAAAACAACTGTATTATCACTAAATCAACATTAAACTGGTTGGCTTTAGTGTTAATCTAATTTATTTTTCTTTAAACCAAAAGTGAACTAGTTGCAAAGCCTCTGAACTGACTGATTCTTTCCAATTTTCTATTTATTTATCATTTTCTTTATTTTCTCATCCGGATGCAGGATCCAAATCCATTGCTAAACCCAAACCCAAGCAACTTACCCAGTCTAACCCTAATCCAAAAGTGCAATTCTAATTTTTATTTCTGGACCAACCCCAATTTTAGGCCTAGCCCAAAAAAGGGGCCCAACCCTTAGCCCAGACCCAAAGACTAGATCTAGTTGAGGCTAGTTGGTTTTTGGTATAGACCCAATCGGGTCTTCTTCGTCACCTGACACACTTCGCCAAAAATTTAAGTAGAAATTTAACAAACTTACCTGTTTAATGTGCCTAAGACTTGTCAAATAGGGATTGACGAGTGTCATAGCTCACTGAATGGTGATGTGGTGGTCAGAGATGTCACGCCCCAATCCAGGGGTGTGACCGGCACTAGGGTCAGCTTACCAACCCTAGTCAGCCTATAACCAGGTCAAAATAGAAAAGTATCGCAGCAGTACAAACATCGAAATGCAGGTGTATATATATACGTCAAACGGGTTTGAGGAATACAAGGAGCTACTAAAGTACAAATAACAGAAATGATACAAAGATGTCCGTACATCACAATGAAGCAGCAGAGAACAAAATCGACCCAGAAGCTACCGCTGCGATTAGAACAGCAATCTGAAAGGGGGAGGAAAGGAATGAGTATAAAACTCAGTGAATAACAGTAAAATCTAGACAAGACGGGACATGGGTCATAGTTTACGAAATCCACATATGTTCGTATAACACATACTGGTCTATATATGCATGTCATTCACACACAAGATTCAGAAACAGAATGTCAAACACCTGTCGGAGTATCGGATCTCATTAGAAATCATATCATACTGGGATCCTGTATCAGAACTAGAGCCAGAAATCACAGATGGCACATAGTGTCGAAACACCCCCGTGTTCCCTAGAAATCGGATCACAAAAACTCTTAATAGATAACCTTTAAAACACATGCATGATTGAGGCACACAAATGTATAAATACAGAAATGTTTCCAAATTTTTCATAATTTAAAACATATAGATACATGTCCTGAATTTGAATATCAGAAATCAGAAATCAAGTCTAGGAATCAAAATCCAAGAATTTGTCAGAGAATCGAAATACAGATGCCTGTATAGAAAATACTATCACTCACCTAGCACGCTAAACGAGGTACTGAAACTCGTGTCGACGGCTCACTGCTCGAAGTACGTCTCCTCTGGAGTATCTACAATCATCAAATCGAAAGTCAGAATCGAAATCGGGTCTTATTCTAAAAAGACTCAACTCTCAGAAGTGGGCCGAGACCTCCCCCATCACCGACCCTAAACACGCATCTCGAGACCCTTAACCTCATACCCGAACCACTCTAGGCTTGAACTACTAAAACTTGAATTAAACGCAGTCAAAACTCCACCAAACCGGGCTGAACCGAGCCCATTTTCTGTGAACTGAGCTGAATCGGGCTCAAATCCACAAAATTAGGGTGAATTGGGTTTTCCCTCTCTCAACCCATGAAGAACCGGCCTATAACTACCAAGACCCGGACTGAACCGGCCCAAACCCTTAAGAAAAATCACTGAACCGGGGCCCTAAACCCTTGAACCGGCCTAAAACAACGGAAACCAGTTAGTTTAACACTTTTCCCCACAAATTCCCTTAAAACTAGATGAACTGAGCCAGTTCACCACCTAAAACTGGCCCAGGCACCTTCCCCAAGGTTCCCTAGCCCGGGAACCGGTTTTTGTTCCCTGGTCCGGGCCGGTTTGGGGCCTGAACCGGCCTGGTCAAAGCGGACTGGGCCGAATCGGCCCAGTCAACGCTGGACAGACCCGGGAAACCCCCGGGTCTGTCTTCCTTGCCCGAGACCCAGGTTGCAGACCCGGGTCTGTAGCAAACCCGAACACCCCGAGCCCCCTTAAAACCCCCTAAAAAAAGCTTACCTCTACTGAGTTGAAGCTTCCTTGCTAGAATTCCGAAGCTTTTAAACCTTGTAGACACGATTAATCGGAACAAAAACCAACTAAAACAAGATTTCTTCCGTCGGCTCACCCACGGACACCGCGACCCTTTTCCAGCTTGATTCTTCTTCTTCTCTCAAATTTTTCTGGTTAGATCTATATACCCAGCTTCGTTTTGGTCTTCTCAATAAAGTTACAAGATTGCTTTTGTGTTGTTTCAACCTTATTGGAGCAAAAATCATCCGGGTTGTTCGGCCAGTTTCTGGGTTCTTCGATTTTTTTTTTTTTTTGAACCGGGTTATTACAAGAGAATGGTTGGAACTGGAGAATTTTGGATAGTCGTACTCCACAACTACGTGACAGTTCCACTAGTTTCCAACATTGATTTGAAATTTTTAGTACCAATTGAGTGTGGGCTTTGATCTTAAAGACTTAAACGCACAATTTTATGTAATCAATTGAGATTTTAATTGCGATTTGAGTTACAAGAATGGAAGGATGGTGAACTAGATTTAATTTTTTCATGATTTAGTCCCTAATTCTCCAATTCTATTCAATTCAATCCCTGCCACTTTAATCAAGTTTTCTATTATGGTCCCTGATAATTCCAATTGCCTCAATTAAATTCCCTATTATTTTTATTTTGATCCTTGAATCTCATGTTTCTTTCAATTAAGTCTTTTTTAAGTTTTTTTTTTTAAATTCTATTAACACCCCAAAATTTTGGGATGTTACAATGAGATATCGCAATCCTCTTATTTAAACACTTGACATTCTCGCTAAATTACAAATCTATATTTGTATCTAAAAAGAAGAGGTCTGAAATATCATTTTGCTCTGATATAATTTGTAACGACCTAAGAATTATTAAACCTAGCAACCAGTTGAGTCTAAACTATTGGTCCAAAATATTTAAATTCAGTTATTTAGTAGTAGTTTATAGTCTTTTATATATTATATTATATTACTTTAAAAAATCGATATAAAATGGAATATCACAAACAAATCAAGTTGATACTAATTTTTTGATTTGTCATAAGTCAAGAGTTAGATTCAGTGTCTAATAAAAATTTAACTCTACTTATCTTATTTTCACTCCTATATCTTAGTCAGTGACCACATTTTGATGATTTTGTTGGGGAAGGAAAATTATTTCTTTGTAAATTAGAGAAGGAAAAGTTTTATTGTTTAGTAAAATGTTACAAATTTCCTAAAAGAGATAACCTATTTTTAATAAATTTAATATTGTAAATAAAATTCAACAAAGTATTTTTGTACAGTAGTGGCGACAGCCGTTGCTATTCCTCAATCAACGTGAAATGGGGGGCAAGGCCAACCGCCTTTGCACGCAGGGGGGACGGGATGCATGAATGTGTTGAATTTCAGGCTATAGATCAATAGACTTAAAATTATATATATATATATATATATATTTTGAAGTCCATAGACTTATTATTAGAAATCTATTTTCCGTTAGATTTAAATAAAAAAAAAAAGAATAATGATGATATGACACCATGGGTTAGATGATTTGGACCGCTTGCGGGAGCGGTCCAAATCATCCACCATCGGTCCGCAAGAATATTAGACCCGCTCACATGACTTGAGGCTGTTTACCTGGTACCCATCACTATGGAAGTTTCGTGTTACAGAGGTAAGTTGATGACAATAAATAGCCCCAGTTTAATATATTTAGGAAAATAATAAATCATATCAGAATTTTTTAAATTAATTTATAGGAGAATTTTTATTTTATATTTAACAAAAAGTGTTTAATAAATCAAATTAAACTATTTAAACTAATAAAACTAATGTTTAGTTTAATTTAATTTGGTTCGGTTTAAAAATAAATTTTTTATATAATTTGATTTGATATTTAACATTTAGATAAGTTATATAAACTAAACCAAATAGGATAGTTTATAAATATATAAAATTAAAAATATTATTTATATATATAATTTATTTTTATCATTTGATTACATATTTGTTCTTTTTACTATTTTTAATTTATATATATTTTCATAATTGATTAATTTTCTTTTCTAAAGTATGATTGCTGTTAGTACGAGTGAAATTCTATTATATTATAAAAATATATTTATAATGCATGATTTTTATAATTAATTGATAAATAATAAATTTGTTGACTTAAATAAGCCAAAAAAGTGAATATTCAATTTTTTTGAAAATCTTTCTTAAAAATTTTATAAAAATAATAAATTTAATCTATTTTATTTTATAAATTATAAACCATAGTTTAAAATTAAATCAAATTATAAATCGTGATCTAGTTTAATTTTTAAAAATTAAAATTTATAAAATATAAATTAATTTAAATTTAAATATTAAACCAAATTAAATTCAATGATAAAACCCCTATATTTAACATGACATATTCAAATCTTTTGCCGTTTTCTGTACACAATTTGAGTTATTTCCACGTTGCAACGAGTCCTCATCTAGAATTCCAAACCGGTGAGCTTTGAACTTGTTTCCACACGGTGGCCTCTCATTCCTATAAAGACGACTTATTTTTCATCCACTGGACTCCGCGGGTTTGTGTGTATATATAGGCTTTTTCTGCTCTAAATTTGTGCAATAACTTCAATTCATCCACCATCTTACTCTCTGCAAAACCGCTAACATCAACCACCAAAACAAAAGAAATTGCCGTCGAGATGGCTGGCAACATTTTGCTTCTTACTTTGCTTGCCATTTCTGTTCCTTTGAAAATGACTGTGGCCTACGAACCTAGTCCTCTGCAAGATTTTTGTGTTGCAGACACTACAAGCCCAGGTATTTACTTAGTTATTCTTGTCCATGGGGTTCATTGCTACTCAACTCTTTTCTGCTTTTGTACTTTATTATACACCAAAATTCTTCTTCTTCTTTTTTTTTTTTGGAGGGGGTGTTTGAACTCCAGCAATTTGGAAATTCTTTTACTCGGCTTTATATATGAATTTAATAGCCCAATTTATCTTGATTCCGATTGAAATTTCCTACACAACATCCGCACAAATTCAATTTTTTTTTTTTATGGGCAAATACATTTCTAGTCGCCATGGTTGCATCCAAGTTCTGTTTTGATTCTTATAATTTTAGTAATACCTAAATCAATTTTTATTGGTTAACTCTAAGTTCCTCCCTTAATCAACTCACTAACTCCCATTTCGTAAACAAAGTTTGGTTTCATTGTGATCAATAAATGGTAAATATTGTTAGTTAATCTTACACCCAGAAAACTAATGTGTTATACTTTTGAAATCTTATATGTAAAAACGTTGTGTTATAACTTTGCCTATTTTTGTGTATAATACATACTTACATATATACATACATTATATACGTGTGTGTGTGTGTGTGTGTGTATACCTATTTTGTGCTCAATAGATTATGTTGATTTGTAACAGTAAGAGTAAACGGCCTGGCGTGCGTGGACCCTAAACTTGTGGGGGCTGATCATTTCTTCTTCAGTGGGCTTCACATTGCAGCCAATACATCTAATAGATTTGGGTCTAGCCCAACCCCTGTCACGGTGGCCCAAGTGCCAGGGCTGAACACTCTAGGAGTCTCCATGGCCCGTATTGACTACGCACCAGGCGGCATCGTCCCTCCCCACCTCCACCCTCGTGCCACCGAAATCCTGACCGTGGCAGAGGGCACCCTGGACGTTGGTTTTGTCACCTCCAATCCCGAAAACCGCCTCATCTCCAAAGTTCTTCAGAAAGGCGATGTGTTCGTATTTCCAGTAGGTCTCGTTCACTATATGCGAAACGTTGGCCCCATCCCCGCCGTCTCCATCTCCGGCCTGAGCAGTCAAAATCCTGGACTTATCACCGTCCCCGGTGCTGTGTTTGGATCAAATCCAGAAATGCCTGCTGATTTTCTTGCCAAGTCCTTCCAAGTTGACCAAAAAGTTGTTGACTACCTTCAAAACATATTTTAGATTAGAAGAGGCTAAGTTAAGAATAAGCATGCAATTACTGTTCTTCCAATAATCCGGGTCCCTATTCTCCCTTTAGACCTTGGTTTTTCCTTTCCGCATTTTTTTTAACCATGAGAAATAAAAGAATGTAACATATGATAAGACGTTAATCTTCTGTTAGCACAAAGCACTCCTAGTATTTACCTAATGAAGTTTCTTACATAATTATAATGTTTCATGCACATGTTGCCCGTTATTTTGAAGTGATAATCCCATAAGAAAATTCAAAATTATATAAATACTAAACACCAATCAAAACCGAAAAATAAATAACGACATACTTGTTATTATTAAATTGATTATTTATTGAAATTGGTAATTAAGTGTCTACTAGTAAATGAAAGATAATTATTTTAATAGTAGAAAAAACACTTAACAACTTATATATAAGATCGTGTATCTTATCTATTAAAGAATATTGGAGTTTGGCTCATATTATATTAATCTAACATCTACACAACAAAAGGCATGCAACCCACTAATATGTGACCCAAATAATTAGATCACTAAACTTGGGTTAGGATCATATATTTCAATCAAATTTTCATAAAAATAAAATTAAATAATTAACGTTAACCCATTAAAATTTTCTGAAATATCCAACAAGAACTATAGCATATGGAAGCATGAAAAGATTAATGTGAGAAATGCTAGGACTGCATGCCCAACTTATTCACTTGAAAATTGATAGATACCTTAAAATGACAAGTTTATCCATTGTCTACCGTATATTTTAATATGATTGTTTCTGGTACAAAAAGATATAACCGACAGTTTGCCTCAACTCAAACCAAGATTCATAAAATAAGGGCCTATATAAATAATTTAGTTTATAAAATCACCCAATGTTTAAATAACCACCAAAATTTTATTAGACAAAATAATAATTCAGGCACAGAGATACGCAGATCTTTGTAATTTACCTTTTTATGCATTAAAAATTTAAATAAAAAAATTCTAAATTAATCCCAAATATTTTCGTCTCTTTCAATTTTACCAGTTGATCTTTGTAATTTATCTTTTTATGTGCTAAAAATTTAAATAAAAAAATTCTAAATTAATCCAAAATAGTTTCATCTCATTCAATTATACCATCTTCCGAGTTTTAACGATGAAAGAAATGACATGCCAAGTGGCAATGTGAGAGAGAGAGAGAGAGAGAGAGAGAGAGTTTGCTCATGGTTTATGAATCAGTTCAGATCAGAATAGAATCTCTGGTTTTGATCTATAAAAATTATGGACTCAAACTAGAACCATAAAGAATGGTCTAGTTCCAGCTATAAGTGTTCATGGTTCGGAGTCGAACCCTAATTCCAAGCCTTCATGCTTCCAATTCCTATTTAACCGAAAAAAAATTAAATATTAATTTATAAATATTTTTAAATATTATAAATTCTTTTTTCTTTTTATTATCAACAAAATATTATAACTCTTGATAATGTCATAATCTTTTGTATTAAAAAATGTCTTTAGTTAATGATTAAATTATTTTTAATTATTTTGCTTAGAAATTTTTAAATTACAATATTTGAATTTTTTCATTCCATTTATAAACTTCAAAGATTTAAAAATAGATGCATGATAAAGTAATTATTAGTTTTAAAAAGTGGCAACTTTCAATTTGTGCCAATGGTATTATTTCCACATTTAGGCACCTTGTAACAACCCGAAATTTTCAATTTTATTTAGATCGAGGACTAATCTGAAGGAATTAGAACTTCAGGGGGCTGAAGTGAAAATATAGGGGATTGGCTTGTAGAAAATCAAAACGTGAGGGACTAAATCAAAATTTTCAGAAAACTTGACATGAACAGTAACTCGAAATGGAGATCGAACGTGGGGTGATGATGGGAGTGGTTGGAGGCCAATTTCTCTACGTATTTGGGTTCACCTTGGGCTAGTGAGCAAAACCCCTTTGTTGATTTTGAGAAACGAGCAAAGGTTGGGAGGATTTGGGGTTTTCTGTTCGTCGGGGAACGTGGACCGCCGGAGCTCAAAATCTAGTTTCAGGCCTGTTAGATCGATTTTGTTCCGATTAAAACAACCCAGCTTGCTCGTCGGCAGCTTTTCCGGTCTAGGTGGATCGAGGTAAGTGAGATTTTGTTGTTTTTTTTTTCGGTTTGGAGCTTCCGGGTCTGTTGCAGACCCGGATGGGATTCGGGTTCTTGTTCCGGGCGACAGGGACGAACCCGGATGAGAATTCAGGTTCAGGCGGGTTGGGCCCAGTTGGGTCCGACCCGGGGCAGAAGGTTTGGGTTGGACTGGGCCAGTTTGGGCTCAGTCCCAGGTGGGCTTGGCCTGCGGGCCAGCCCACATCAAAAAAAGAAAAAAAAAAAAAAGAGGGTTGGGCTCGGGCCGGGGGGAGGCCCGAGCAAGGTGGGCCGCCCCAGTTGACTGGGTTGGCCCAGACAGGTCTGAGCCGCGGCTGAGCCGAGCCAAGCCGAGCTGCTGGGCTGGCGGCTCAAGCCGAGCCGTGGCTCGAGTCAAAAAAAAAAAGGGGGAAAGGGTTTGACTGAACCGACCAAGGGCTTTGACCGGCCGGTTCAGTGGCCATTTTGGCTTGGATTTGGGAGGTTGGACCGGTTTTGGATTCAGGGGGAAAATACCTATCAGACCAAGTGGGTTCGGAAAATTTTAGGTGCTCGGTTCGAGGTGAACCAGTTGGTTTAGTGTATTGATGCTCGGGTGATTAGTTCACTGGTTTTTAGGCTGGTTCTTGGGGAGTTTGGATCGGTTCCTGGTTCAATATGATAAAACCTAGCTAACCATGAAATTTGGTGATTTTTGGAGGTCCGGTTCAAGGTGAACCAGTCTCGGTTTGTGTGCCGATGCTTAGGATTAGGATTTTTGGCCCAGTTCGAAGCTGGTTTGAGCCTTTTTGGCTGGTTCATAGTGATTCCTAGGATTTTTGGGCCTTCTGAATCCGATTTTGAGAGTTTCGTGGCCATTTGAGTTGAGTTGGAGGTAGTTCTAGACCGGGCTAAGCTAGTTCAAGGGTTTTGGAGGGCGGTTTGCTATGGTTCGAGGTTTGTGGGTGCTGGTTCCGTAGTGTTGAGGGCGGTTAAGTAGATTTTTTCAGTGTTACTGAGTCACATAAGTTCTGGTGACAGGTCGTGTTGCCTCGAGATGCGTACCAGGAGGCTAGTTTAGGATTTGAGTCTGGTTTGAGGCTACCGAGCTTGTTTCTCATGCCGATTTCGGTGTTGGTGATGGTTTTGTGTGATTTTGATTGCAGATTCGCAGGCAGGGGCACACCCGGACCATTGAGTCGAGTTAGGTGACTCGGGACTCTCGTTTTGGCTTAGCGTCTGTACTCTGAGTGATGATACCCTCTCTATGCTTGTGTTTTCATACTGTGATTTTCTGACATGATGATTATGTGATTTGAAAACTGTACTTTGATTATACGTTATACTCGGGATATGTGTTATGTATTTTGTGAACTGTCAGTGAGCTATGTTAGTATGTGATACTTGTTTGAGATGTGAACTATAAATACGTATGTATACTTGTTTTTGAGTACATGTGAGGATGGTATCATGTAATGGGAGGCGGTAGGGGCCGCAAGCGGCAGGGGCCGCGGGCGGCAGAGGCCGCGATGTGATGTGTGATGCGAGGCGGCAGAGGCCACGAGCGGCAGAGGCTGCGGATGTGATATGCACTAGTGCGAATCCTCCGATCGTGAGAAGATGAGACAGGGGTCTCGGATGTGATGTGTACGGGATGGCAGACTCAGCCGACGGACGATGGACCGTAGCGTACGGGGAGTACCTTGGCCCGGTGATGAGATGAGTTGTGTGGCTAAGGGCTCAGCCAGCGAACGGTGTGCTACCGTAGCGTGCGGAGAGTATACTGGCCCAGTAATGTGATGTGCATGGGATGGCAGACTTAGCCGATGGACGGTGGACCGTAGCGTATAGGGAGTACCTTGGCCCGGCGATGAGATGAGTTGTGTGGCTAAGGGCTCAGCCGACTGACGGTGTGCTACCGTAGCGTGCGGGGAGTATACTGGCCCAGTGATGTGATGTGTACGGGATGGCAGGCTCAGCCGACGGGCGGTGGACCGTAGCGTACGGGGAGTACCTTGGCTCGGCGATGAGATGAGTTGTGTGGCTAAGGGCTCAGCGGCGAACGGTGTGCTACCGTAGCGTGTGGGGAGTATACTGGACCAGTGATGTGATGTGTACGGGATGGCAGGCTCAGCCGACGGACGGTGGACCGTAGCGTACGGGGAGTACCTTGGCCCGGCAATGAGATGAGTTGTGTGGCTAGGGGCTCATCCGGCGGACGGTGTTCTACCGTAGTGTGTGGGGAGTACACTGGCCCTGTGATTGATGCGATATGATGATTCATTACCTTGATACCTCGCATATGTGTTTGATTACTGCTCACTATATATATATGTGTATGTATGATTTTGTACTTGTGGCGTGATACATATCCCAACATGTATAGATTAGGTATCATCCGTACTCACTGAGTTTCGCGACTCATAGTTTTTAATCATTCCAAATTTGTGTTGACTGTACTCACCTCGATTAGCGTGCCAGTGTGGGAGATAGCGACTGCGGATTTGATCGATGTACGGCATATCTCTTTTGTATCTTTTCCCTATTGTATTCTAGAGTAGCTTCCTTGTACTCTCAGACAGGATCCCGTGTGATTTTTGGGTGTTATATTACTGCACTTTGTGTATATTTTATATCTTTGGAGTTTGACTGGTTTTGTTGAGGCTTACTGGGGTTGGTGGATCCTAGTGCCGGTCACAGGCTTGGGGTTCGGGACGTGACAGAGTGGTATCAAAGCTATAGGTTAATTCTGAGAGTTTTAAGGGAGCGAGGTTATTTGGTAGTACTTTTATTATGAGGGTGAGGGCCCCACTTTTATAATGGGAGGACTGTCGAAGACCTTTTAGGGTGTGTTTGGCGTTGACTTTTCAATTCCTTTGTGTGCTCGATTCC